CACACACACACACACACACACACACACACACACACACACACGTACATAAATATAGAGAGAGGAGTGTGTGAAGACAGAAGGATAAGTCAGCCTTGTGGTAAATTTCTCTTTGACATAGATGTCCAGCACACACAAAGGGAGAAAGATAATCTCTACAATTAAAGATGCTGAGAAAACTGGAAAGGCATGTGCAGAAGAATTAAATTGAACCTTTATATAACACCATATAAAAATGAACTCTTATTGGATTAAAGATTTAAACATCACACCTAAAGCTATACAAATAATAGAAGAGACACACAGGAAAACTCTGTGACATTTGTTTGTACAATGAAATTTTGGATCAGACCCCAAAAGCACGGGCAACAAAAGGAATAACGGAGATTTCATGAATCTAAAAAGCTTTTGCAAGGCAAGAAGAAAATAAAGATACAACTCATGGAAAAGGAGAATTATATTTATAGTTATACACATGACGAGGGGGTTATTATCCAAAATATATGAGGAACACAAACAACTCAAAAGAAAAAAAAACAACCCAATTTAAAAATGGGCAAAGGACTTGAACAGACATTTCTCAAAGGAAGACAGATTGTCAACAGGTACAGGAGAAAATGTTCAGCATCAATCATCATCAGAGATATGAAAATTAAAATCACAATGAGATGGTTATTAGAAAAGAAGATGAAAGAACTGGAGTCACTGTAAACGGATTCAACTGGAGAATATCAAGCTAAGTGAAATAAGCCAGACACGGAAAGTCAAAGGTTAAATGTGTTCTCTGATATATGGAAGCCAGACCAAATAAAGGGTGAGAGAAGCTGCAGAGTTTGGTGGGATTCCCTGAAAATACAAGGTATATCAGTAGAGTAGAGGGAAGGGATCGAACGGGGAAGGAGGAAGGACAAGAAAATGGAAAAAAGGTGGAATGAATCTGATCAAAATTTCCCATGTACATATATGAATATTCCACAGTGAATCTCACTTTTTCATATATCCACAGCATACTAGTTAAAATATATATGATATAAATTAACAGAAAAAAATCAGTGAAGAAGAGAGAACAGAGGGATGGAGAAGGACAGGAAAAGTGGAAGTATTGGGGACTGAATTAGAGTCAATTATATTGCATGCTTGTATAATTATGTCAAAATAAACCCCAATAGTATGTGTCATTAAAATGAACTATTAAAGGATAAAAAAAAGAGCTGGGATCAGTGACACATACCCATAATCCCAGTTGCTCATGAGGCAACTTCGAGGCCAGCCCATGCAACTTACACATTGCCTCAAAATAAAATTTTACAAAGGAGCTGAGGATGAAAATAAAATTTTACAAAGGAGCTGAGGATGAAGCTCACTGGTACAACACTTGCCTACCTTGTACTAGGCCCTAGGTTCAATCTCCAGTACCAAAAATATTAAAATAAAGACAAAAGATTACAAATGTTGTCATGACTAAGGAAAAAAGGGAACTCTTGACACTGTTGAAAGTAATTAATAGCTATCATGAAAAACATTATGTACTTTATGTTTTTTAAATATTTATTTTTTTAATTGGACAGAATATTTTATTTACTTACTTTTATGTGGTGCTGAGGATCAAACCCAGGGACTTGCATATGCTAGGTGAGGGCTCTACCACTGAGCCATGACCCCAGACCCCATTATGTACTTTCCTTAGAAACTTATAACTAGAACTACCCCATGATTCAGCAATCCCACTACTAGTTGTAAATCAAAAGGAAATGAAATCACTATGTAAAAGATGTGATGATCATCTGTGCTCATCACAGCACTGCTCACAACACTCAAGACATGGAATCAAGTTATGAGCCCACCAATGTATGTATGGATGAAGAAACTGTGTGTGAAATAGAATGCAATTCAGTCTTTAAAAAGAAGGAAAACCTGTCATTTGTGACGACATGTATGAACTTGGAGGACATTATGCTAAGTCAAATGGGATAGGCACAGGAGAACAAATACTAAATGATCTCACCTGCATGTGGAATTTAAGTAGTTAAACTCATGGCAGAAGGAACAGAATAGTGGTACCAGGGGCTGAGGAAGAAGGGAGGATGAAGAGATGTTAGTCAAATAATACAAAATTTCATTTAAAATGGAGGAATAAGTTCAAGAGAGCTGTTGTGCAACACAACAGTTAATAAAAATGTATCATATACTTAATAATTGGGAAGAGGACAGATTTTTAAAGGTCCTTCCACAAAATGACAAGTATGTGGAATAAGGTGTGCACTATTATTTCAATTAAGCTAGTTCACAAAGAATACATATTTGAAAACATCACACTGTACAACAAAAATATATACTATTTTAATTTTAAATTACCTGAAAAAAGTGAATTGGAAAGAGAGAATAGAAAAAAATAAATGCTTTACCCCCCAAAAACTTGTGTGATGTTTATGAGGATATTAGGGGAAAAGGAGAACTTATGGACTATTGGTGGCAAAGTGAAATGGCCCAACTATTTTTAAAAAATAAAATAAAACTTTATGGTGGTTCCTCAAAAAGATTAAAAGGAGTCACCACACAATTGAGTGATTCTACTTCTGGGAAATACCCAAAATAACAGAGTGTTGGTTTACAAAGTGATAATTTTAAATTCCTGTTCATAGCAGCCACCAAGAGGTGGAAGCAAACCAAGTGTATATTGATCAATGAATAGATAATCAAAGTATGATATATTGCTTGGCCTGAAAATAGAATATTGTTTTCTGTTGAAAAGGAAGGAAATTCTTGCACATGCCACATTCTGGATGAACCTTGAGGACACTCTGCTGTGAAACGTGTTGGTTGTAAAAGGACATATGCTACATGATTCCAATTACATGAAGTACCTGAAAGAGTCAAATCGAAGAAACAAAGTGGAATGCTGGTTTCCAGAGGCTGGGGCACAGGACAATGAAGTTGTTCTTTAGTGGCATAGACTTTGGTTTTGTAAATGAAGATGTTCTGGAAGATGCACAATAATGTGAATATATTTAACGTGGCTGAACTGAACACGGAAAAATGATTATGATGACAAATTTAATTTTTTGTTTCTCTCACCACAATTCAAGAAAAACTAGTGTGATTTCTCTCACCATAGTGGACCCTGGAAAAGCCATCTATATTATGGTGAATCACATACTCAAATTTCTGTCTCTCCAAA